GGCGCTAACCTCCTTGCTTTGGGTATTCCTAATATCGATACCCGACAAGCTGCAACACTAGATCTACTTTTGAAACATCCAGATGAAACATTTGCAATATACGTACGAAACAGCTGAAACACTCGAAACATGCGTATGAAACACTTGCAAAAAACACCTGAAAACACTTCTATGTGTGAAAACATATGCAACATCTAGATGAAGCATTTGCAAACATACGTCTAGAAAACGAGATGAAACATTTGGAACATACACTTGAAACATACGTGTATAGCCACTACAACATGTGCAACATTTCGATCTACTTTTGCAACATCGAGATAAAACACATGCAACATCCAGATAAAACATTTGAAACACTTCAAACATACTCTTGCAACATGGGCTTTACTTGGACGAATGGAGACACACTGGCGCGGAGGTCGACGGCGGCGCATGGACCTCGTTGTGCGGCAGCAGCAAGGGCAACTTGCCGGCGAGCGCGGCGTCACACGAATCTCGTCCCCCTCGTTTGCTTGCTGGAGCACCGTCGTGGAGGCTCGCCAGCTCGGTGGAGGCGGCCACGTGCGAGCAGGTCGGCCACGGCAAGGAGACAACGCAGTGGAGGTGGGGCAAGGCAGACTCGGCCTGGTGTGAAATGCAGCGCGGAGGAGGCAGCGCGGGGGAGGCCGCAGGGGATGGAGCGTGGCGTGACGGGGGCGCGGCGCGGGGACTAGGGGGCAACGGCGAGGAAGAGTGGGGTGGGTAGATGGGCACTGCGACGCAGGAAGAAAACAGCATAGCGAGCATCGAGGCGCGCGGATGGAACGAGCGGATAGGGTCGCTGGACGAGCAGTGCGTGCATAATTGAACGGTGGGAGGCGTCCATCAGTCCAGATGTCTTAATTGTATCATTGTTGATATAGGAAAGTAAGTATGGTGAGCACTCCGGTTCATCAAATCCAGGAGGGCATTCCCTCGGCTCGGATTTCTCACGCCTTGGGTCTCCGGTCTTGATAAACATAAATCAAGGTTTCATTTGACCAAATATACAGTCAATAAAAATGTGTGGAAATAAAGCCATCAGCGGTCTTGGTATCGACTTCTCGAGTAAATGTGCAAAGCTGTCTTGATCAGTTACAATATGATCATGAGAAGCAATGGATCATCATAAGCTACAAGAGAGTGAAGAGAAGACTAAGCTTTTGTAGGTTATCTTCTTTGGAGGTTCCAGCACGTCAAGGTATGTATCACAACAATCACACTCACATCTTCGCCACAAAGTCTCCTGCCCCATCTACGAGGATTCTTCCTCTTGGTAACAAAATAAGGCACCCTTGACGAAACGGCACAGCCGCGCAGGAAAGAGCAGTACACATTGACGGACACCGGTTTGTCACCATCAGATCAGTCACAACTCACAGTCACAGCTCACAGGTCACTAGTGGGGAGTATCCGAGCACAGTGGACTTGACCTAAAGCGATAGGCCTCGTCGACCTGCCACCTTGGTTCGTACGTACGAAAAGAACCGAAGGATTTTCATGTAATTTCGGTGATATATACATTATACAATGTTGAACAATGAAAAATACCAGACACTACAGCTGCTTGATTCGCGAGTCGCGGGGACTCAGGCCTCAGGGAGTACAGGTAGAACCAAACCTCATCAACAGGGACAATCCATCCGCTATGGTCAGCCAGCTGTTGCCTCAGCAATTTATTCTTGTTTACATGAGCTCCTGACCGTCTCCACCGGTGCTGCATGCAGTCTCAAAAACAAACAGAACCCCTTAGGATTCTACTGCATAGCTTAAAGTAAATGATCTGTTACAAGCAACATCACTCACCATGCGGCCTTTGTGCAGCAAGGTACAGTACCCAGCCTTGAGAGGTTTTTCCAGAGTTTATCGAAGAACCAAACTTCATAGCAAGAATACCATGGTACACAAGCAGATTACATCCTGACGCAACAGCCAAAAAGAGAGCAGCAACTCAATAACCCTTGGGTCAACAGAATTCTGAACGAGGCAATGCAGTCATGGGTGTTCTCATTCTTTCAAAAATGCCATGGTGTACTCTGCCTGTTTAAACTCTACTCAGCTATGAAACTATGATCTTTAACTCAAACAGTTATGGTGATGATCTCACAACTGGATAAGAGATTTTCCTAGTCCTAGTAAAAGAAGCCAAGGACCTTCCCTCCCATTCTTTCTCCTCGCCTCTTCGTCCATGATGCAATCAGAGGCGGTAGAACGATGTGCCCAAACTGCAAAACGGAAAATGAAGTTCTCTGGAAACTTGGTTCGATTAAGATGCATTAGATAAGTGATGTTTGCACACAAGCTGTTTGTTAACTAACCTGACGTGAGGGAAGCAGCCCCACGGTCCAGGAATCGATTTCCTTACTAACATCAAAACATGGGCTGATCATGCCACTTTGTTCAGTCTACCGTTGAGTTCAACAACTATCCTAACTGAGAGATGATCATCAGCAAACTCAAACACACAAATGTATCCTGCAGTAAAAAGAGCAAAACCATCACTCATGGAGAGCTAGAAACAGTCCTAGTATAGTTTACCACCAAAAAGTAGGTGCATATTTGATTAAGAGCCCGTTTGGATGGGTGAAACATTTCTGATTCTGAGCAGAATCATCTGAATCTCTACCAAATGCTGAAAAATCAGAAACATTTCACCCTGAATCACCTAGAAACATTTCTCCTTTTAACATTAGGAAGGAGAATCACCCTTGCACCGATTCTAGTTCATCTCAGGGAGAATCAAGATCGGTAGCTAAACAAATAGAGCAAGTGATTCTGTTTCAACAGAGAATCGTTTTTAGGAGAAAAAAACAATCTGGATCCAAAACGTTTCTGTGATAATCTGGATACCTACCAAATAGGCCCTAATGATAAAAAATTTACCATGCTTTTGCATGACGATGATGACAATTGATGAAGGTATGATTATCACTGTCAGACTACATGAGCACTATATTAAGGTCCTCATCAGTATATGGAGGTAATTGCAGCTGTCAACTGTTTCTTTCAGACAGCAAAGTCGGAACAATGTATGCCCATTACTAAGTAACTGGAGCATTTATTTCATGATGCAGTCTGGAAATCTTGTCAACAGAAGCTCCACCAAATTGCTGCAGTGAAGGTTGCAAAGGTGATAGGACACAGCTTCTTAACAAGTATGACAGTTCTATTTTATAGCGAAAACTGCTTCTTTTTTACCAACATTAGATAGGAGCATTGTCACCTAGCAAGTTTACAACATCATGACCTGTTTATATTGATTTCTTTCTAAATAATGCAGGATAGCAAATTCAAATTTACATGGCTGAATGCAGTTCTATTTTCAGTTCCAGACCTCTGTATAAAGGGGCCAGTAATGAGGCCTAGAAAAACTCGTGTTCAGATTGCAACTTGTAAGTGAACTCAAGTACTGAACTGTATAAATGGTTAGAATTTATTCCCCTGATAACATCTTTTATCTCAACAGCTATCGATATCATATCGAATGTTTAAGGTTCCATGCAAATCATCAGCATGGCCTTGATACTAGGCGAGGAGATTTCCCAGAAAGGGAGGAAAATCTTTGGTTCCCGGCATCCGACAAGGGCGGAACCAGTAAAGACATGGGTGTACACATGTACACCCAATAATTTTTTGCAAAACAATCGAAGTTAGTAAGCATAATACATGTATACACGTATACACTTGTACTTAGATCAGATCTGAATACAAGGTTTTGCCCAAATTGGATAGTTCATAAATGACAAAAATGATATAATATTGCTGATACAGAATAGGAACTAGAATATACAGTTCCAGTAATCCAGTCTTCCAGATATGCATCAGTTCAAACTTAACCTTGTCATCAGTTCAAAAGAACAATACAATAAAGTGCCAGATATGCACATCTAGACAATCCTGACCAAGCGCATGGAGGAAATTCACATCTAGAACAAGTGGTCCTTCCCACCACACAGAGCTCGAGATCTCCTGATTTACTGCTACAGAATTCAAATCTTGTGAATTAGGGCTGGGGATTGGGGCTCACCTTGGGAGGACCGGAGGAGGATGCAGACAGCAGGATGTGTGGGGCGGTGGTCAGGAGAGGAAAGCGGCCGAGCCGAAAATGACAGCGGAATGCGGCTGGGGACATGGCCGACTGGGGAGTGGATGCAGCAACACTGCTGCTGCTGGGAATTAAATGCCTAGGGTTATACCATGGGCTGGGCCGGCTGCGGCTGCTTCATTGGCTAAATTGATAGCTGAACTTGAATTTCAGGAAGCCATGGGCACCAGCGGGGAAAAATGAAAACCCGTCCCGCCCTGTCGGATCTAAAACCCAGAGATCTTGGGTCCCTAGGTTTGGGTACTCAGTATCACACAGCAGGGGAGTGAAGACAAAGAGGTGGGCATACCTGGTGGTGCTCGCTGCTGGCAAAGGTCCCAAAGAAGACCTGGTCACCTGGCGTAGGGTGGCAATGACTGTTGCTTGGTCATCGCTGGTAACCCATAAAATAGTTGTAAGGTGCCAAGCTATGGTAACAGTGGCAATCGGTTTGTGTGAGCAGTGCGGCCAATAACGAGCAGACAGAGGGAGACACCTAGCATAACATCTTCAGAGACGGGGAGCAGAGGATTCGAGGAACAAGAATCTGCTGTTTGTATCCGGGCATAAAGGGCAACTTATGCCCTTGCAGGCATAATTACCCGAGATGGAACTTTCACGGAATACACTAATCATTTCAACGCATACTGGAGAATTGGACTGGAAAACCTGCATATGTCCTCAATGCCGAGTCAAGCTGAGCGGTACGCCAATACTGGAGATGCAGTGCCTGGATCCCCTGGCTAAGTAGTGAATGATTATGGTTATGCTGTTGTTTGACAAAGTGTTGTTCAGCTGTTGAGACAACAAATAAGTAATTTGATGATGCTTACCACTCCAGAAAGCTGCAATGACTATGATCAGTCATACAGTGCCACAGGGTCCACAAACTGCTTCAAAGTTGTAGCCTCTGGCCAAGCAGCAGAGCCTCATCCTTAGCATCCAGATGTAGCAAGAAGCCACTGCGCTTGGTGCTATTGCATGTGTCGGCCACCATCAATATGCTGTTGTTTATCAGCAAGTTTCAGAGACTGAATTAGGTACCATTTGGTCCTCAGAGCAAGTGAATAATTCTCATCATGCGTCGTACCTATCGTACTGAATCCAAATGTGCTAGTCATCAATATTGACCTAACAGAATCACAAGAAAGAAGCTTAAATAGAATCTTGTTTGAGACAGTAAAGTTACTCTTGTATGTCTCATAAACATATGACACAAAGGGGATATTACAAAAAACTCATGCACGCCTCACTAACTATTTGTTCAAAGAAAAGCAGTGCTGATGTATGCTGAGTTTCTGAACACTAGCTATCAGACTGTGCACAGTGATTTCATACCAATAAATTATCCTTAAGAAGCTTGGTATACTATACTGGACTGAAATATATCTTCACTTCCAGGAGTAGGATACCATGGCACACGAACTACAGAGTCTATAAATCATCAGCAAGCACACTGGTTCATTAGTAAAGCCAAAGTGCCCATGGACAAAAGGCACCCAATCTTGCTTTCATGCACTTGCTGGACACATAGAGGATAAAAGTCCAACAAACAAATCAAGAAGCTTCTAGTTCTAAGGTTGTGTATCGAGACTCAGGATGTGACATTCAAATTGGTATTCAGATGGTAGTGACAGCAATAACAACCAGAAGTGGCAAAAGTTCATGGAGGAAACCAACTATGTGAAGCCAACAAATATAAAGGTGACATATGCACCACAGATACCTTGGTGTAAGATTTGACTTTTCATTCATATCAATGTGACCATCTTATTGCAAGAGCTGTCAAGCACAAGAATGCTAAATATACCATAATTACATGCCATTCTCGAGCTAACCAACAGCACCTCAGAGTCACAGACCCTTTAGTATCAAATGTAGCAATGACAAAACCAGGAATTCCTCTTGTCTTCCATGTCATAGCTGGTACTGTTACTTCACGTGTACCATCAGCATGGACAAAGACAGAGAAGCTACCAGAATGAGCATTAAATATAATCCTGCAGAAAAAAAACGACATTAGGACTTCAGTTACCATTCTAAAGAAAGCAAAACAGAATTTTCATAAACAATAATTTGAAAATAATTGTACACATAACATGACGACACACCACCCAGACAATATAACAAAAAGAATAGCCAACTACAACAGGTAATTCAATCCAAAGCTAACATCAATACAGAGGGCTCACCTTGGTTTAAGTGCCTGAAGAATATATTGTGTTGAATTCGCAGGAAGAGTATGCAAGTGATTGTATAAAATCCTGCTATTAGCTCCACTGCACGGTTTCAAGTAGTATGTCATGATACATATCACACCAATTCCGGGCTTCAAAAACAACATTAACGTAATACAGCAGCACGGGACTAAAGATTCTACTCATAAAATACATACTATTGATGATTTACCTTAGTTTTGAGCTTGAGTCAGCTAATGAATGATCGGAGACAACCGTCTCTGAAAATGTGGGAACACCCGTAACCTCTCCATCGAATTTATGCAATGGAAAATGGAGCAAAACGACAGGACCTGACCCTGATTCCATGTTGTTTAGCCTCCAACTAATGTCAGCGAAATTTTCACTTCTTTCACATCGTAAAGGGTTACATTCTGCTTCATAAACCCTTTCCCTTTGGATATGATGGTTCTCCCTCTCCATAACCTTCTCGATGCTGAACCGCAATGCATTGTCGCTACACAGCAGCGCAACCGCATTTAGTGACACGAAACTTACATTGCTGATATCGAAAGAGCCACATCCACTTGAATCCAACCCTGGCAAATGTTTGGCCCTGCGGCGGACGAATTTACCCTCCAAATTTGCACAAGTGCCAACATCTTTATCACCCAAAACAATATGAAGAGGAAGAGTGGAGTACGGTCCCAATATCCCCTCAAACTGTTGAATAACAGAAATCCATTTGGCCTCCGTTGATTCCGAACCTCTTGCTGAGATGTCCCCAAGGACTACGATCATATTCGGCTTCAATCTTTGAAAAGAGTTCTGGAAAAAAGGCATAACATCGGGAATCAAATCTGACAGTAAGTGGACCCTCAAGTGAACACTGAATCGCATGAAAACGTGCAACTCCACTACTTTTAGCACCCGAGGACGGCAGAACAGCAAATTTGCAACTGCATTAGCCCATCTAACGTGTGCAAAATCAAACATTTCAAGATATCCGACAAAAATTCGCGAAAATTCGGGGCACTCGCTCGCATCTGAATCCTATCACTCACAGCGAAGAATTTGGACATGACGTGGTCGCGGAAGTGGCGGTCAGCGAAGGACGCATCCGGCCCGAGGAGCATCAGGTCGGCGACCATCATGGCCCTGAGGTCCCCGGAACCGTGGGCGGCGGGCAGGCCCCCCGAGCAAGAGGGCATCGAGAGCCAGTCCTCGAACGCGAGCAGCGCCGCGACGAGGAGGAGCGGAACGGCTGGGTTGGGCCAAGTCGCCATCGTAGCCGGCGTGGAGACCGGCAGGAGGATGGGATGGGGGTAAGGGCTGCGTCCGTCGGGGTTTGGGTGTAGTCGCCGCCGGCCATGGTCCATGGCCGGCGGCGGTTGCTTGCTTGCTTCTTTATTTATGATGACTCAGCATTCCCAGTAAGTTTTGACCGGACCGTGACAATCAGACGGCAATCACTGGAAGTAGCCGTTTAGTGAACCATGGACGATTGAGATGGAAAGCTACAACAAGATGCTATGTGACGAAAAGTCTCTCATGTCTTTTTTTTTTTTATTATCTCTATTTCTATCTAAAACATTCATAACTATTCCATCCACATGCGACACCAAACCCGCTCCGCTCCGTACATCCCCGAGTGTGACACCAAAGCCCCTCACTCCCATGCATCCACCCGTGCAGACCGCTCCTCTGACGCCTCCGATGCGGATCGTCGCCGCCAACGCCCGCCTTTGCCCCATCCAAAGACCCGCACCCATCCACCCCCACTGCTGTTACCCTTGCACGACGCGCTCCATGACGAAGGAGGAGGCCCGACGGGCGCTACCATCGCGATTTAACGAGGCCTTTGGTGGTGCTTGCCTCAAGACCGGGTGAGCTTGAAGCCCTCATGCATGGTGGTGCCGAGGAGGCGCGGCCATCGGGCGAGGAGGCCAGGGTAAGGAAGAGAAGGGCGACACGCAATGAGGAGGCCTGAGGCAAGAATGGGCAAGGAAGAAGCACGACGGTGAGGAGGTGGGCCGGAGGCACGGCCGTGGGCGAGGAGGTGCGGCCACGAGCGAAGAGGAGCAGGGAGATCCCAATGTTGGTGGTGAACAGGGGCACATCCTCCCTCACAGTTTAGATCCATAGATTGAACTGTCTTCTCGTGAAAAATCTATAGCCCTGAAAGCTTTGATCTTTTTTTTTTCTTTTGTTCCTGACGTAGAAGTGTATCTCTTGGTTGGATTTGTTGCTGCTTTTTGACGAAACATGGCTTAATTGACTTGCCTTCTGGTAGCTGCAATCAAACCCAGCATTGAATTGGCTAACCTCTGTGTTGGTATTGATTGTTGTTCTCAGGTTAGTTGATTTGAGATGCGAATCAACATATTCATCATGTTGCTCTACAGCTACATTGTGATGGGGAACTCATGGTTGTTTGTGGATCAACATTGTGCTATGCAACGGGAAGGTAACTGATAGATGAATGAGTCTCTCTCCTGTCGCCGTCTAGGTGTTTTGTGGCTTTGCTTCGGTGGGCATTGGTTTGAGTAATTTTCCCTTTGTTGTACCTTGTTGCCTGTAGTGGCAGATCACTGGAGGCATGATCTTGTTGGGCCTATCCTTGCACTCGTTCATTGTCGGGTTCATGCTGTTGCTACTGCTGCAAATCAACTTCATCCTTGGGCTGTAGACCAGGCGGTACAACCCTCTAATCCCCGTTGCCGCGTTGCGTCGATCAGGGGCGAAGCCAACTCAAAACTAACCCTGGTGCGCCCTCTATCAAATATAAAAGAATATGTACAATTTTAAAGGAAATACATGGAAATTTTGAGGTACATATTAGTAATTTTTCATTTTACTGTGGCGCACGTGCACCAGGGAAAGCCAATGTGGCTTCGCCCCTGGCGTCGATGTTGTGAGCACCAGCAGGAGGAGCAACCAGCAGATGTTGCAGCTCGGATTAAGGAAGCTACTAAAAACTGCATAGTGTTGTGAAATAAAAGGAGTACCTTCTAGCCCGGGTGGTTGTTAAAAAGTCTAGAGGTTTGTTCTCACTCGTACAACATATATGCAGTTAACAAATTTAATACGCATGGAATTAAATGCATTTGTTACACTATGTGATGGCTAATGACCAAAACAAAAATTCACTGATGCAGTGTGTAGAGCAGCACAAAGCAAGCATGTGAGGAGAGGTCTTAATCATGCTCAAGCGCTGACAATTCCCCTTAATTTCTTATCAAAGCATGTCAAGCCTACGTATCCTGGTTTCGAGTGAGGTCCAACTAGCTTGGATGGGGTGGTTGGGTGTGCATCTGTCCTCTTGGTGATGCAAAGTGGGGCAGCTTCCAGCAGAGCGCCAACTGGTGATGTCTAGGAGGTCTCCCCATAGACAGATGGTGTCGCCTTTGATGTTCTTGTGATCAATCCTCACCAGTCAGTTACCATATCCAGGGAGGTGCAACTCATCCCTAAGGGCCTGAGGTAAATATCTTTATCTGCAATTAGTCACATTGAACCATTCATAGCCTTTTCTGAGTGTAAACTAGCTAACAGGCCTATTTATTTATGCTTGTAGAGAGTTCCTACTAGTTGTGTTTGGCTGGCAGGGAAGTTGGAGGATACTCCCAGAAAATCAAAGCATAGTATATTTGTCTTCCACAGAATGAAACGGGAGAGAAAACTTATTAATTGAATTCTTATATGTCTTTTCAAATGTATATTTTGTTCAACTCAACATAGTTTCAGTTTCTTTTCTTGGGAAACGTTAGCACACTTTTGGCTTGATATTTACATCAGGAATAATTTAGAATCATTGTTGCTCGTGGTAAACCTGTTCTACTAGGAATACTTGACTTATTTTTTTAGTTTTTTTAAGAACGTAGCAGCTGCATTATATTATTTTTTCAGCGAGTTCTTTTGTATTATCTTCATAAGGACATGATTTGCTAGACAGAGCGATCTAATCTAGAAAATATAGTATGTTGGATTATTTGTTAGTTTTCTAACATGTATGTACTGACCTTAAGCGTCCAAATCGTATAGGGGATTCACAGTAAACTGAAAACATTTTTGTTGGTCCATTTGGTAGTCAATACATATTTACCAAGTTAATATTCATCTCTTAGTCTTGATTACCAAGTTAAGCAAAAGCACGAGATAGCAACTGGATGCTGATGGTCTACAATCCAGACTGGTGATATGAATATGTGGGCCATTTGTAATACAGAATATAACAAGTGAACTTTAGTGTGAATATTATATTTTTTACGCCCTCTTATAGTTAGTCATTGTTATAAAAGAATATGATTAGCAATAGATACTAAAAATGAATTGTTGGATATGATGTTAATAAACTTTCAACTATATTTCAAAACCATTGACAGCCTTGATAAGAGCAGGTATACACCTGGAGCAGCGCAAATTTGAGCTGTGGCTCCAACTGACTACCGCTGATGGTTTGCCCTGATCTCTGCCCTGTTGTGTTGTTGTGCTTGTAGGCAGTGGGATCAAATAAATCAAAGCTTTTGCTTAACTTGTATATGCAGGTCATCCACTCTGTTTTCATATCATTAAGTTTCTGCTATTCTATGTAAAATATACGGCCTTTCTAATGTGAATTACTTACTCCGGTTTTGATTTAGTGATACATGTGTACACAATATTACAAGGATTTAATGTCTTATTAACTGCTCTTGGGGACATTATGTAGTGGTATATTTATTTCTCGATCCGTACTAGGAAAGAGACTCCAAGACTCAATGAAGAAGCTGATCCTTAGCCTCAACTATGCGTAGAAGGTTCTTTCAGCCCACCTAGCATCAATTTCATCATCTCCTTTGTTGTCATCTATGAATTTTCTGTGTCCTGATCTAAGTTTGTGTTGGTACTTACTAGAGCCAGTGATCTTGTCCTATCGGTAGTGAGTGCTCTAAACACATGCTCTACCTAGGTAAGGGCATTCAAGGGTACATCCTATGCTAAGAAGGTGGAGGTCGAGCCTAAGGTGAAGCAGCCGTGCATACAATTCACTATCATCTTTGTTCGTTCAATCTGCTAATGCCAATAAGGTTTGTCATAGGTGGATTCCTGACTTGTACAGTATCATACAACTATTTTGACCACACAAAATATTTCGGTTACCCATGCCTTTAATCAAAATCATGATGCACACAAGACATTTGTTTTATATGTTATTAGCTGGAAAATACATAAGATTCTATAGATTTTGAAACCCGTAGCAACGCATGGGCACTCACCTAGTTTTACCATAAAAAACGGAGACTAGCGTCCAGACATATGTATGTACCATTCATTCGGACGCCGCGGGCACCTACGCCCGCTGCCCATCCATTTTTAATAGAGCCTTTTTCTCATGTGTCATTATAAAAGATGCTCCATTCTTACATGCTACCAAAAAGTTCACATAGATTCTGGTGCCATGACGCTAAACTTTTTTGTCCAACACACCATTCCGTCCACTTTTGCTCCTAACGGTGGGTAACGGCGCTGCCAAATGACTTAGATGCCCTTAGGCTTGAGAGGCTCTATGAACTAGTTGGTTTGCTTCTATGCCATTCCTAGGCCAGCCCCAGGTTGAGCGTTTTGGCACCAAAGCTAGGGTTGTTGGCACCAACTGAGTCCCTGGGCTTCTCCTCCTGTATATAGGTCATCAGCCCTATTAGTTGCCACTCATCCAACTTGAGCCCTATCAGGGATGTATGGATGGATGGATAAATGAATGAATCAATGTTGAATGATGAATACAAAGATTATTCATTTGTCCAGAATGCAACAACATATGAGAAGAATATAACAACAATTAGAGTACTGCAACAGTAAACAAACATTCATCACATAACAGTAGCTACCTTATTGTATTTTTCATCACAAAGGTTTTATGGCACCAACATGTCACCAACATTCATCACATAGCAGCTAAGTTATTGGTTTTCATCTATAGCTAAGTACTATCATGCCATCACAGAGCAAAAGAATAGTCGTGCCATCACACAACAGGTGTTTTTTCAGAACCACATCACCAAAAGAACATTGAGCAGGCACCTATTAGACACACTATTTGGACCTGAGCTTGAAGTAGTAGTGGTAGCTGCCCCCTTGCTCTTCTTGGCAACAGAAGAAGAAGAAGATTTTCTCTTTCTTTTCTTGTGTGTAGCATTGACCACTGCCTCATTGTGTGGGAACACCATCTGGGATGGAGTAGCAACCACAATGCTAGTCTCTGTGTTACAGTTTGCTGCTTTTTCAGCCTTTTCTTTGAAAGACCCCTGCATAGAAAAAGTTACATTAGTTAACTAAGTTATTGAAGCTGTACATGTATCTGCAAAGTAATTTAGTTACATAGTTTACCTTTTAGCCTCCATTGCAGCTATATCTTCTGGATTCCCATTCTTGCAAGTGTATCAGTGATGCCCTAACTCATGGTAGATGGGGCACTCAAGTTTCTTTGCCCTCTTCTTGATGCTGCCTCCCTCAAGTGATGATTTTATCCTATTCTTCCTTCTACCTCCTGTGGATCTAAGACAAGGAGGGTGCATGAAAAAACCATGAGTAGCTTTGAGCCACATGCTTTTGTCAGGAATACAAGGGATGGAACCCTCATATGCAGCTCTGAATTTGTTGACAAAGAAGTAATCATCCACATGGTCTTCTAGTTTTTCACCAGGAATTGAAGTAATGTAGGCTATTGCATGCTTGCATGGGATTCCTGATCCCTGCCAAACCCAACAGGAACATGTTCTGTCAGGTAGGCTGACCACAAACCTAAAGCCACTACCTCCCTTAGCACACAGTTCTACCACACCATCAGGGGAGGCTGTGACCACTTCAATGTCTAGGTTGTAACTGTCTTCCCTTAGCTTCTACAGGATGTGAGGCAGAATCTTTTCTTCCAACTTCTTAGCTACCTTCTTCCTATGGTTCCATTTGATTAAAATCTTCTGTCTTATAGTGTCCAATAAGTCATCCAAGTGATTTACCTTCTCAGGCTTGATCCAATTATTAAATGACTCAGCCAAATTATTAGTCACATAATCAACCTTTGACAATGTCCTGTACTGGCTCATGGTCCAAAGTTTCTTGTGAGTTTCTTGCAGATACTTCATTGCCTCAAGTTTGGCTACAACCATTGCTTGATAGTGCTTCTCAAACATGTAAGGGATCCATGAATATGAAGAAGCCCACAAGTGATCATCAAATATCTTCCCACTGTACCTCTTTTTGAAATTATGTACTAAGTGATACATACACTCTCTATGTTAAGCATTTGGAAAAACTTCACTAACCCCATTCATGACTGCCTGGCCACAATCCGTGCAGAATGTTAAGACCTCTGGGGTGCCTATTGCTTCCTTCAACCTCTCCATGAACCACACCCAATTCTCATTGGTTTTCGAGTCAATTACACCAACAGCTACTGGATACATCTAGTTGTGCCCATCTACTGCACAAGCAATGCACAACTGTCCCCTAAACCTTCCTATTAAAAATGTGCTATCTACTGCAAGATATGGTCTACAGCCTCTAAGAAATCCATCAACACATGGTTTCAGTGCAAAGAATAGCCTATTGAACCTGATCTTATTGTTGATGGTGTGATTATCAATGACAAAAAATGATCTAGGATTTGATTCTTCTAACTGGGCCTTAAGCCTATACAGGTTATCAAAACTTTTGCCCCAAGGCCCATAAATCTTATCCATGGCAAGATTTTTACCTTTATACACTCTCTTGTAGGGCACCACAATTTTGTGTGCATCCTTCAACCTCCTTTGCAGTTCTATTGCACCTAGAGTTCCATCTTCCTTCAGCCAATCAATCACCTGACTGCACACCCAAAACTGTGTTACCCCTACACAGATTCCTTGCCTCCTAGTGCTCTGACACTCATGAGGGTAGGAGTTCCTTTTCACCTGCAAAATAGTCAAGTAATGCACTTATTACAAGCCGCACAATGCAAGAAAAACAGGGAGCAGTCAATGAAAATAATATACTAACACATTACCTTAATAGTGTGCCCATCCCTTAGAGTTGAGGCATGAAGTCTCCACCTGTAGCCCTCACTCTGCTGTGAGCAGTTCACCCTATACCTCCCTGTATCACTCTTCTCAATGTCATAGTTGAACTCATGTTTAACAACATGAGTAGCTAAAGCAATCTTAAAAGCATCCATGTCTAAATACATTGTTCCTACTGACATAGGAGGGTCATTCTTGTCATAATCAACATCAAGCATATGTTCAGGCTCCATATCTTTAACCATATCATCTATGTATTCTACTTCATCATCAGAGTCTGTCTCAGAGGATTCATCAGCACCAGAACTCTCACCTTCCCATTCTTTACTCCCACCTTGGCTCTAAGGATTGGGAGGAGGTGGGGGGTATTGGGGACCAAGGTCAATATACAACCCTTCCTCATCAATACCCACATGCTCATTCATTGGGTTTGGGTTAGCCAAGTATTCAGGTTTAGCAAATTAAGTGTGTGTGGCATGGCTTGGTTCTGCTAAGCTTGGACAGAGCAATTGAAGGGGTGAATGGGGGTTCAAAAGAGTTCACAGTGCTACCAGAATCCCAATTAGGAATCACAGGGGGCTCACTACTTGGGCTATGATATGCAACAGTCAACAAGCAGCATTTGGAAGCCTTATGTTTTGCAAACATTTCAACCAAATCTTGGTCAGTGTAGACTTGGATGTTCACTTTACTATCCATGCAGAAATAAAACAATCTCACTATGTCACTGTAGTTATGAGGATACTTGTCGACAACTTCAACAACCAGGTCTGTGAAGTTAGTGCGGTCAGCATCCACGACTTTGTTCAATGAAAACCACCACGCACGAGAATTGGGAGCAACAATCCAGATTTCTAAGTTACAGCTACTTTCTACGTCCATCCTATAGATGAACAAGGAGCATGCAATCAACACTACAAACACGGGGCACAAACGTAGGGCAATAAATACCAATCAACACTACAAACACGGGGCACCACGAAACCAAGGGGGAAAGCAGTGAACTCACTTGTTTGTAAGCCAATCCGGTCGCTCGCCATGCTCTTGTTCCCCGCCACGCCACGCCTATCCTCTAGATCCATGGTAGAATCCATGCTCCACTACCCCATGCGCCGCCATAAGCACGGGATTCGTCGTCTTCTCTCCCAGCCGCCGCTACAGCCTCCACCGCCGGATCCGTCACCGCTAGGGTTTCTTCGACCGCTAGGGTTAGGAACTGAGGGAGTCGAGCGAGAAGAGAGAGTGAGAGACTGAGGGAGATGCCGGTCAATATCGGTCAACACAGCCTCCACATATGCCCGTGGCTGAAAGGGCAACATGGACATTTTTCCTGCCCGGTCCCACATATAAGAGCTGCCAAACGGTCAAAACCAAACAGAATGGAGACGGAATGACGTGTTGGACAAAAGAGTTTAGCGTCATGGCACCAGGGTCCGTGTGAACTTTTTTAGTGGCACGTAGGAATGGAGCATCTTTCATAATGGCACACATAGGGAAAAGGCTCTATTTAATAATGATACCCTCAAGGCTCCTATGGATGGATAATGCTTCATGCTCCACGTCTGTTGCATGCCCATGGATGTAGCTTCGTGCTATGCTTCGCCTCGTGCCCCACGCCTGCTGCCTGCCCAAGGATGTAGCTTCGTGCTCCGCGCCTGCTGTCGCCCATGGATATAGCTTTCTGCCGCCCCCGCTTCGCTTCCCACGCCCGGGGGACCACCTTCGCCTGTGCCCCTTTGTCGCGACTGCTCATGACACACTTGCAATGTAAAGTATTTGCTGCAACATACGTCCTAAATAGATGAAACATTTACAACATACATTTGCAATTTGTGTATGGGCACTGCAACATATGCAACATCTAGATAAACACACTTGCAACATGCATTTGAAATAGGTGAAACATTTTAAACATACACTTGCAACATACGTATATAGCCTGTGCAACATATGCAACATCCAGATAAAACACTTGCAATATACATTTGAAACATACATTTGCAACGTACGTGTATAGTCATGGCAACATATGCAACACCAAACCTATTTTTGCAACATCCAGATGAAATATATGCAACATACATCTGAAAACACATGAAACATATGGTTGCAACATGTGCTGATCTACTTGCTGTCCCTCGTGGACGCTCGTTGACGCGAAGCTTGACGCCGGCAAGGAGCTCAATGTCATGGTGCGGAGGTCGGACCTCGGTTGTGGGTAGCGCGAGTCCGAGCAGGAGGCGCGAGGCGTAAGCGGCGCACGGCGCGAGGCACAAGGCACGGGTGGGCACGTGAGGCGCAAGGCACGAGGCACAGGATGCGTCGGCAGGCGGGTCCGTCCGTAAGCGGACAATCTAAAAACAAGAGGGTCCTTTGTCTCAAAGCTTCACACAACCCAAGCAAAGATTAGCCAAAGCGAAGAGAAGGGGTGAAGGAAGGCAGACGTCTATCAATCCAATTTATTTTTTAAAAGGAAAATGCTTCTCTCCAAAGTCCTAGCTCACAAATTTTAACCATGTCTTTGTAGGCTTGCACACCCTGCCCATGAGGAAGAACCTATGACACAATGATATGGCAGTACTCTTGCTATTTTTTTAAAAAAAAGAATCTATACAAGAGAGAAGACTTGCAAGTGGTAATGTATACTCCTCAGACTTCAGCTGCCATCAATGGACAATGGTCTCTACAATCTTTACTGCTCTACTAGTAATCTGCCTACACACAACAGTCCGCTATACGAGAGGGCTCGCAGAAGCCGTGTCTACGACGGCTTGTCATGACCCATCCGCGCGTTCACGGAGTAGTACCCCCTCTTGATCGTGCTGCCGTCGTCAGTGTCCACCTCGACGGCGAACACGCCACACACCGGCCGATGGTCGGAGAACCTGGACTCGCCGCGCAGGTACTGCAGCTGCTCGATGCCGTCGCCGTGCCACAGTATCCGGTCGCACCTATACTGACACGTATGGCCTTGGGTAACACATACGTGATCGAGCTGAAGAATTACAATGTCGAATCGGGATGATCGATCGAATTGAATACCATGCCGGCGTCCTCCGCTTCTTCTTGGACTTGGCCGTCTCGCCGGCGTACGCGTCGGAGTTGTGCGTGTACTTGTACGTCGGCGCGAAGCAGATCTTGCCTTCGTTCCAGCCACTGAACACTCTCCCTGCTTCTCTCTCTATTATCAGCTGCACAAATTTGTTATGTTTATGGTCAGTGTCTGATGATCAGAACTGCTGTAAATAGTTCATACCTGATCTTTCTTCAGAAGCTCGTCCCAGTCATTCTCCTCGAGCAACGTTCTTGTCTCTTCATAGCTTAGCGACACTCGATAGTTCAGATCACCGAGCCATATCATCCGGCTGTTTTAACATTGTGAATTTGCGTTAGTACTGCAAGATTGTGGTGGAAAAAAGGTTAATTACTCGTTCTAAAGCTTAATTACTCGTGGTCAAGAATCTTTTCCGGGACTCGATGGCTGGAGGGCAGCTTGCACGCGCGCGGGAAGTGCGCGCTCCTGAGGATCTCGGCGACGTCTGCGTTGCGGCGCACCTCATCGCCCTCCTTCTCGCCGGAGGCCAGGTGGCTGCAGACGAAGCAGAAGCTGGTGCGGTGCAGCGTCATGCTGATGGCGATACAGCCCTTGTTGCCGAGCCAGCCCATGATGCCCCTGCCGACGCAGTCCACGCGGAGGTGGCCGATGTGCTCCACCAGCTCCCGCTTCACCCACACCGACAGGAACAGCCCCACCATCTGCTTGCTCCCGATCAGGCAGTAGCTCATGCCGCCGCAGCCAGGTTCGCACTGCGCCGCCGGGGTGCCGCCGGCGTCGTCTGCTGCGTCGGTGTCGTTGCACCCGCTGGTGGATGTCTCGCCGCCCCCGGCGGACGCCGCCGCTTCGGCCTCGGCCTCGGCGCGGTACACGGACGCGCGTATCTCCGTCGCCCTGCGGCGCATGGACGACGGCTCGGCGGAGCAGTTGCACGTCTTGACGAGCGCGCTGTCGACGCGGTAGCTGTTGCTCAGCACCTTGAGCGACGGCGTCTGGAAGAAGAGTGAGGAGTCGCGACGGCGGTGGTGATGTCGCCGGCCGGCGTCTGCAGGCGGCGGCGGCTCCGGCGGTGGCGGGTCGTCGTCGTCGTCGGGCTGCTCCTGGGGCTCGTTCAGCGCCTGGTGGATGAGAGCCAGCCACCTGAACGCCGGCTCGTTGTCCTCGACCACCAGCACGTTCCCCGCGGTCAGGGGAACTATCTCCTGAAACCTACTCGTGGCGTCAGATTAATTCAGAGACATGCAAACGTATGTAGTATCAAATATACAGAGACCAAATCCAAACACAAATTATGTCGAAATATTTCGAAATGTGAAATTTGGCCGTACCCTAAGACGTAAATGTCAGGTGATTCTTCAACCTGGAGAAAATCTTGCAGGTTAAGCCTGTTACTCGGAGTCTTTCCTCCGACATTCCATGTAGCAACAAACATCCTGCATCCATGTATTAGTTGGGGTCATGGCCATATCATCTTTTGTAGGAGTAGATGATTTGATCATCGTTTAAATCAATTGAACATCATCGTGATTACTGGTACTGGCGTGTATCATCCCTTTGCCTATTGGGCAAATCCACATAATGCAGGCTCGCGCTCTTCAACCGTGCCCGTGCTGCATTGCAGCTCTGTGGATCTGAAACATCAACGGAGTTTTATATATTTGCACTGTGGTGCGCAAATTATCTGAAGACATTTCATGGGCAATTCCAACCAATTTTTTGCCATATTGCTGTAAAACTGAAATTGAATGATGATGCAAGCAGCTCACATATACAGAAGTTACTAACCTGCAACATTCAGGTCCCTCCCTTTCATGGCGAAGACGTTGGACATGGCGCCCTGTGAGCACAAACGGCGCAATCAGAAACGCACATTGCAGAATACAATCCCGCTTCCAGTTTCCATCATGGTTACACTGTTGGATTGCAAGATCGTGAGGACCTGATCGTTACCTGTCTCCTCGTTGTAGTTCACGTGATCTGTTGCTTGAGAAGGAACACGAAGGTTTCCGCCAAGGATGCTCTGCTCATCCAAGCTATTTTTTCGAGAGAGAAATGTGGGGAGGTAGACGACGGAGAAGGGGCCAGGGGAAACGGAGGGTAATTGGGTGGTTGGGAGGGACTTGTGTGAAAGGCTGCTTGAAATGCCAGGAAAGCAGGCCATGTGTTCGTTTGCCCCGGTCAACTTTTTTTCTCCCTCCTTTCTCCTGTTCTCTTTTTTTTTCGCTACGGTCACCCGAGTGATTTATGGGCGTCCCTCGCTCGATTTCAGAGCCATCCGATCTCTCTGTCTTTTTGATCTGCCGCGTCTGTTTCTTTCCGGTTTTCTCTCCGGTCTACTGTAGAGTATACATGTAGCAGCAGATAGGAGTACGGGCCTTTCACTGGATGCAGCACCGCTCTTCCAGGGACCGAGGCATGCAGCGCTGCACAAGTAGCTGGCTCAGCTAGGCGCCTAGGCCGTAGGCAGGGCAGCACAGCACAGCATAGCATGCGACTGCTGGCTCCGGCCACATCCTCTCACCTCGGCCCCTGTGCCACGTTGCCTAATTATTAGGCCCTATCATAGTTTGTATATGTATGTATGCAATTTTATTTCTCTATAAAGATCATATTTTACTATTTTTATCTAGGTGTAAGTTCTGTGGTAAATTAGTGTAAATTGATTATTGGTATATGAGAATGGTCACAATTATTTGATCAATTTTCTGATATTTTTTTGGCTTTTTTATTTTTCTATATGCTTTATTTGTTTCCCTTTAAAATTTTTCAATTTAGCTTCCATAAAAATAATGTAGCAAATTTTTATTTTATCTGTTTAATGTTTTGTATTGCATTATTTGATTTTGATTCATTTAATCTGGATCCAATAATCATGAAAATCAAGTGATGAATGGATCAAAACACTCAGATTACAGGCTCTACGGAGTGTTTTCGTGCCCCCGAACACTCGGGTGTCCCATCCACCTGAAATACCCGAGCGTTGGGTAGACCGACCCTTTTTTTTTTGAACTTACGTTTCTCCTGTTCCCAAGGCCAGTTAAAAAACCCCGAAATATACAATGAGCCGTCGAAAGTAATTGGACGGAAATTGTTTTCCCGCTGACGTGGATGAGATCATTGCTGATGGACTCCAGCTTTTTTGTTCAGACAAAATACACTGCTTACTTTCACCTGATCGCCAGAGGCAGGAAACAACGGAGCTACATCCCGGCACTGCTGGCCGACGGCCATATCACCGAGGACCATAGCGACATGGAGCTAGCGCTACACAAACACTTTGCCGGGTGCGGTATGCCCGTTCACCCGTGAGGTATGGTACTATATCCTACAAGCGCTTCGGCAGCAAGTTCCACCAGTCTCCCAAACGACGCTCTCCTGGTGGCGCCGATTGCGGTCAGTGTGCAACGGCGATCGGCGAAACGGTATGGACTCCCTCTTCGCCCTCGTCTCCTGGCAACTATGGAAGGAACGGAACGCAAGGTGTTTCCGGGAATCGACATCATCCGTCGGCGACCTACTGCACATCATCAAGAACGAAGCCGACCGATGGATTCAGGCCGGAGCATGCGGGCTACGTGCGCTGACGCAAGGCTAGGTCATTTGCAGGATAGACATGGATTGTCAGCAAAAAAAAAAAAAGAAGCTAACGGCCGGGAGTGCAATTCTCTCTTCTAATACAATGGTATGCACACTCGTGCGTATTCGAGAAAAAAAATACATAATCTTAATCTGTGCCCCAGCTTCACGATAGCCGTTGATGGAAAAGTTGGTTAGCTTGTTTGATCTCTTAACCAGAGCTATGGGCTCGAAGCTATCTCACCCCAATATTGTATAACGGAGCGATGATGACATGCTCTCGTGACTACATGGGTGGTCACATTCATCTCTCCCATAATTCAGATGAACCGAGCACCAACTGAGCTTGGTATTTTTCTTTTCCTTCAATTTTTTTACAAAAAATATCTTATTTTCTTCTCTAATCTAAACAATTCGTCTTCTTTGTAATTCTCTAATCTAAACAATTATTCTTCTTTTTTTTACAAAAAAACATCTTATTTTCTTCTCTAATCTCTAAACAAAAATTGTGAACGATTTATGCGTTGTCCTCTTCTTCCACGACCTGCATTCCGCATTCCGCATTCCGCATATGCAAATCCATCTATATTCAGTTCTTTCCGTGCCTGACTCACTCTCCGTCTCGCCGCCTGCGTTTCAGCAGGTTTCACCAGCGACACCGACACCGCCACGCCGTCCTTAAATACGACTCCTCCGCTCCCTACGCAGATCGCCAGCGGCATTGAAGGATCAATCAGACGCCCCGGCTCGCAGCGCGCGACAGCCGCCAGTGACTCGATCGGTCATCCTCGCCGCCCGCCGCCACGCCGATGAGTTTCCAGGACGTCTGCCACGACCTGGAGGCGGGCCTCCCGCTCCCGCCGCGTCCCCGCCGCCGCCGCCGCCGCAGGCCGTGGTGGCGCACTGCGTCTTCCAGATCAACACCAAGGTGTCCGAGCTCCGCCGCCTCGCGCACGAGCTCGGCGCCGGCGGCAGCGCCGGCGGGGGCGGGAGCGACGCCCGCGTGGTCCGTGAGCGCATCCGCAGGGCGCGCGCCGACGTCACGCGCCTGGCTCGGAACACGGCGCGGAGGCTGGCCAACCCCGCCGACGCCGCCGCCGTCGGGCCCAACATGGCCACGGACTTCCAGGCCGTGCTCAGGGAGTTCCAGTGGGTACAGGGCCGGATCATCGAGGCCGATCGCCAGGAAACCGCCGCCGCCGCCCGTCGTGCGCCGCCGCCGATGTTTCCTCCTCCGTCGCCGCCGCCGAGCTACGGCTCTCCCATAAGATCATCATCACAACTGAACAATGCCAATGCCAGTGCCGGCGCCGCCGATCAGCGATGCAACATCCAGATGCAGCAGCAACAGCAGCAGCAGCTGGTGGAATCACGGAGGACGCAGGAGCTAGCCCTGCTGGACAACGAGATCACCTTCAACGAGGCCCTCGTCGAGGAGAGGGAGCGGGAGATATGCAAGATTCAGCAGGAGATCGCTGAGATCAACGAGATCTTCGTGGACCTCGGAAAGCTAGTCCATCACCAGCAAGGGGCAATCGATGCCGTCGAGTCCAACGTGGAGAAGGCCGCCATGGAGACGAGCAAGGCGGAAGAGCAGCTCTCCAGGGCCGCACTGACGCATGCGACGAACTCGTCGATGAAGTGCTTGCTGATCACTGTTTTTGGGCTCGTCATGTTGATCTTTGCGTTAGTGTTTGTAGCGTAGCAACCTGCTACAACTGTAGTACGTAGTCTGACGAATGAGCTTTATTTGGCCTTTGGGTGAAGAATTCTTTCGTCGCTTTTCTTTAATAACAAAGCATGTCAACGATCCTCGGGAATTTGCTGCGCAACTCTTGATTGATTTATGAGGATTGTTTCCAAATCTTGTGATAGATTAATCTACCAAATTTCTAACCTCCCGATTGATGGCCAAATTCATGTTTTGTGGTGGTGGCCATGAAAGACTCCTGCGACATTAGGGATTCGATTAGAGTTGGGTTTAGCCTTTTGGGGTAGATTTGTGGTCTCTAGCTCTTGAAAAGATGGTTAGCGAAATCGGCCTAGAGGTGGTGGTGGTGAAAAACTCTGGCGAAGTTAGATTAGATAGTTGGGTTTAACCTTTTGAGAGAGATTTCTAGCTTCTAGCTCTTGAAAAGATGGTTAGTGAAACAGGTCTAGTGGTGGTGGACGCCTGGCGGAGGCGTTGAGGTATTTCATTTCAGCATAGAAAGCACGGGTTGCTCAAAGGGTGACTATTGGCCCTGTTGGGTCTAAGGAAGAAAATTAGCTATTTGCCATAGCGGGCTTTGCAAATTTGCCACTTTTTCATCCTATATGCGTACACACCCACATCGCTGCACAGGGAAACAAATTCAGTGATGACGAGCTCCAGACCTCTAGACGCACATACCACCTTCGATGTGTGGCACACGTTCGCCCATACAATCCTTTTCGTGTAGCGCTCGATCACTCGGCCCCTTCACCCAGAGCCAGAGGGTGTGATCTGTGATGCGGCGCGTTCCTCTCAACACAGTACATGGTGTTTATCCGCCTGTCTTTTGACTACACGGCTCACTCCTCTCGACACAGTACATGGTGCCTATCCTCTCGACCTTTGACTACTCATACCTCGTGGGGGCATTCACTAGTATTACTCTCTACTGGACCTCATGGAAAACTATAGGAGATCTTCATGGTGACTTGATAAGACGTCAACGAGGTTTGACTGTGTGATGTAGGGCGGGTCGTCATGATGGGGGCACAATAACACGAGAGCATTGGTATGTAAGTATCATGGGCCCGTGTTCATGGTTACGTATAGTTTAGGTAACAATGATAACAACCCAAATCAATAGCATTAACATGCGTGTTAAGTTGTGTTAGATAGGCTCTACTAGGTCCTATGGATGTAAGGAAAGTAGTGGTGCGAATATACGAGAAGAGACCATGAAGAAATGTAGAAAACAACAAAGGTTTACTTTGTCGATAGTCACTACGTGAAAAACGGTTTATAGCAACGGGATAAATTTTTTATAGGGGCAGTTGGTGATAGAGCCGTCCCTACAATGACGTGCTCGGGAGCCACGAGACCAGCCGTCCCTACAAATAAAATACCAGGGGCGGCTGGTGATACGAGCCGCCCCTACAAATGGGTTGGATTTGTAGGGGTGGCTCACTCACCAGCCGCCTCCGGTGTTGCTATTTGTAGAGGTGGCTAGTGACTGAGCCGCCCCAACAAATACGCGCATATAAATACCTCCGATTTGTAGGGGCGGCTCAATCACCAGCCGCCCCTACAAATGACCTACATATATAACAAACTGCAACACATTCTTTCTCATCGGGTCACTCAGTCCAACCCGTTAAAAATGGTGGGGAGGTATTGGACACCTCCCAAAAATTGCTCTACTAAGGGGGGAAGGTTTTGGTCTCAAATCCTTTGGTGGAGAGGTTGTAGAAGGTAAGAAAATGCTATTCCACACTTTTTTTAAGTTTTAATGGTTGGTTAGTGAGTAATTAGAGTTTTGTTTTTCTCTCTCTTCTATGGTGCTTGATCTACTTATGAAGCAAATTAAACTCAAGTTTTGAATGTACTTGGGTAAATTAGGTAGGGAAACAAGATCATACCCTTATTTGATCCATGTTTTTTGATTTTAGTGAACAATTAATTAGTTTTATGGATGTTTCATGTGCATGTAGATCTAGATCTAGGGTTTGGTTTTTTTATTAATTTTGTTTTTGTAAATTTATGTTTGATGAAATTGGACCAGGGTTTGCAAGAAAGATATTGGGTAAAATATAATTGTTGTTAATTGTTGTCTTTGAATTTGTTTATTGTAATCAACAAATATGTATTTTAATCATTATGGATAAATAGGCCATTAATTAATTTTCCTCTACCATGGTGTGTTTGTATGCTTCATGTAATTATATTTGATTTATATTCATATATATCTGAAGTATATACAATGTTTGTTTTGTTGTTGTTGCAAAAGATGGAGTACAGTAACTCTTGGATGTATGGTTCGTTAAGGTTCAAGGCATGTTTCCGTGAAGAGGTGGATAAATTTATTGAAGCCGCAAAGAAGCATGCAACGACGTTGACATAGAATAAAGATACAATTATTTGTCCCTGTAGAGATTGCAAGAACCGTATGGCATGGACAGATGTGACTATCATCAGATCACATTTGATTATGCGAGGATTTGTTGAGGACTACACAGTGTGGATTCATCATGGTGAAACGGTTATTGTTAACGACGAGGATAAGGAGGAATACGACGACGAAACCCTAGAATCTCTGTCCCAATATTCAGCAGAGTTTGATGCACGAATGGATCCCGAGTTTGGCAATGAACAAGGTGGTGATGCTGGTGGTTGGGATGGTAACAACGAAGGTGATGCCAATAATGATGGTGGAGCACGTGTCGGGGATGAAGATGATTTGGAGGACATGATTCGAGCCCTTGGACCAGAGATTTTACTAAAGAGCTCAAAAGGTCTAGAAAATTTGAAAAGGGTGACAAAAGCATCGAAGGAGACTGTGTATGGTGTTGAAAAGGGCTGTCCGACACATTAGACATTGCTACGTTTTGTGCTTGAGCTACTCATCCTGAAGGCTAAGTACGGCTGGTCAGACTATAGTTTTAATGATCTATTGCGTCTCCTGTCATGGGTGCTGCCACAA